CAGCCTCAGTCTCTCCCTCTCTTCCTCTCCCTCCCGCCCCTCTCTCCAAGCACACCCCCCCATTCCAAACTTTTTTCCCCCTGAGGTCCTGCTTGTTGAGTAGCTTTAAGCAGAAAGAACTTAGAATGTTCCCACTGACCTGCCGTCTACTTTGGCTCTTGGATCACAGAAGTTCTTCTTGTCCACGTCTTCCAGGCGTGCAGCTGCTGTGCGCCTCTTCCGCCTTGCCCTAGGTGAGCATGGGCTCCAGCTGTCCCTTTATTTTCTCTTAAAAAGAGAAGTACTGTATTGTGTTGGTGCAGTATGTACCGTGTCTGAGAGCATAAAGAGTACTAGTAGGCTGCAGGTTGTAGCTACAGGTACCGGGCTTTGACGCCAGCTCGGTAGTGCAGTCCAGCCCTTAGCTGGGGCTCCTTGGAGCTCTGCGGAGCCAACCTTCTCATTCCACAGCCAAAGAGCCCCAGAGCAGACAAGACCTGGCCAGAGGGTAGCAAGTGGGGGGCCATCCAGAGGAGGTGCTAGTTTATCTGAGCCCAGGGGAGGGACCCTGCCAGGTGAGACTGCTGTGTGATCTGGGGCAACAGCTCCACATTGGGTTAGAGCATGCAGCCAGCAGGAAAGGATTGACTCCTTCTTGGGACACACCAGCAGTCCTCAGACTAACCCCTGTGGGGAGGTAAGTATGCATCTCTTTAGGACCTGTGAACCCAGATGGACACATGTCCACACATAGACACTCAGAGATGCACACTCAGGTGCTTGCATACACATAACACACTGTTCGTTCCAGTTTGATAAATCATCCTGACCAGAAGCAACTTAGGTGAGAGAGGGTTTGTTTCAGCTTGCACTTCCAGGTCACAGTCCACTTCTAAAGGACCCCAAGCCAGGAACTCCTTACAGTAAAGGCAATGTCAAGAAAACAAAAAGACAATCTCACAGGCGAGAGAATACTTGCTAACCATGTACCCATTAAGGGTTAGTAATATATGAGAAACTCAAACAGCTCAATAGCAACAAGGAAAAAAATCAGAACAAAACACTACTTATAGGCTAGGTGTATTAGTGAAGCCTTTAATCCCAACTCTCCAGAGGCAGGGTCAGAAGCAGGCAAATCTCTGGGGGCCTGAGGCCAGTCTGATCTACAGAGTGTGTTCCAGGTCAGCCCGGGCTTCATAGTGAGACCCTGTCTCAAAAACTAAAAATAGATAAATCCTTCTTGCAAAGTGGCAGAGGAACTGGTTTTCTGAATAACACGTGCAGACCACGTCACATGTGCCCTTCGTTAGGGAGATCACAGGTCAGTAAAGTGCTGTGGACTCAGGGATGCCCATGCTCATTGATGTGGGCCCACACTTGGGTGGCCGAGAGTAGATTCCCCACACAGATACCTTGGAAGGTGAGGGTATGCCATCTGGTATGGTGATCATGCTGTTGTGAACTTCAGGTATGCATGGTCTTTCTCTGTGTAAGGAAGCCATAACCACGTCCTCCGAGGGCAGCTGACTGACGTCAGTCCTTTATGGATAGTTTGTAAGGAAAGTGACACCCCTGTGACAGTACTGTGAAAACCACTGCATTGTTAGCAGTGGCACTGATGACATAGTGTGCAGTTTCTCACCACAGGTGACTGTACCTCTCACAGTTAGCCACAGTGTCCTCCTTCCCATGCCCTCAGGAGTGTGAGAAACACCTCTGGTTATTCAGGCTCCTCCTGATTTCCCTCTGTTGGGAACACAGGCCAGCCCAGTCAGGTCCTGGCAGCACAGTATGACTGCTGTGCTGAGCCCATGTTGTGAATGCTCCATCCCTCCAATGCCCTGGGGGATAAATGTTCTGGAAATCACAATGTAATGTAAAAAGTCACATTGAACTGCAGGTGACTGGTTTACCATTGAGACAACATCCTTTGGGACTGTTACGAATCCTAAGGAAAAGGGGAATGAGTTGGGGGCTCCTGCCTCTTCCCCTTCCCTGTGCCTCCTCATCCCTCCCTTACATTCGACCACTGCCTCCTTCTCTCTTCTAATGGCACCATTCATTTCTGCATGGTCTCATGGCTGTTTGTCATTCTGTCAAGACCTTTCTAGTATGTGAAACTGCTGATGTTTCTACTGACTCCTTTCAAAAATGATTAGTGTGTATGAGTGTTTTGTGTACATGTATGTCTGTGCACCATGTATGTGCCTTTTACCTGTGGCGATCAGAAGAGGGCTCTGGAGTTGCAGATGGTTGTGAGCTACCCCGTGGGTGCTGGGCATTTAACCCAGGTCCTCTGGAAGAGCTGCCTGCCAGGACTCTTAACCACTGAGCCATCGCTCCTGCTCATGTTTCTCCTGATTCTGGCATGTGTGGGCCTCCCTTGGGTATGGCAGAGCTTGTGCTCTGGTGTTGCGTGTATAGGGACTCCTGAAGGTGGGGTCATGCTGCTGCTTCCCAGAGGACTGTGCCCTCTCCTGCCCCAGGGCAGCCTCCTTAAGGACTGTGCCAAATGAGTGGAGCATCTCAGATGAGATAGAGTGCATGACAGTACTGTGGCCAGGCTGCTCACTGGTGGCCGTGGCTTTTCCTTACTGCTCCCGATCCCCTGACTGCCTGCTCTTTCTTGAGGACTCTGACTTTTGTAACAATAACATATTAAAAAGTACACATCTCTGTCCTGACTTTTTCCTATAAGTTAAAACTGTTTCAAAAATTGAAAGGTTACCTTTTCTAAAAGGTGTCTCTTGAACTTGACTCAATGCACTGTCAGATGGATACAGCGCTGTGCTCATTCCCACTTTCTCATGGGTATCGGTCCTTGAAGGCCATCTTCTTACTGCCTGTCTTTGGCTTCTAGGCCCCTGTTTCTAGGCCTCTCTGCTTCTCTAACTGTGGGTTCTGCTGTGTGTTGAAATTTCCTGGTATCTGTGTCTAGTCGGCTATGATTTGAGGGGCTGCGTTTGTCTTGAGTAACACAAGGTGACACCTTGTTGAGGTTTACACTCTAAGATTGACAGGATTTCTGAATATGCACGGCAGCAGGGATCTTCCTCACAGTCCCCAGGAAGAGCTGGCTCTGGTGCCTTTCAGCCTCACACTGGTGGCAGATGACTGGCCATGGCATGGGAAATCCAGCCTGTAAAGGAAGCCAGCATACAGGATGGTCGAATACTGCTTGTAGATGTCCAGCAAGGGGAAAGTTAAGTGGCTACAGGGCTGGGGAGGTGGCTCAGCAGTTAAGAGCACTGGCTGCTCTTCCAGAGGACACGGGTTCAATACCCAGCATCCACATAGCAGCTCACAGTCATTTGTAACTCCAGTTCCAGGGTTACAAATCTGATGCCCTCTTCTGGCCTTTAGGGGCACCAGGCACGCACGTGGTGACAGACCTACAGGCAGGCAAAATAACAACATACATAAATTAAAAATTAAAAATTAGTTGGATGCATCCTGTTGGTGACTAGGAAAACTGGATTCCTTAGACCTGAGTTTTTGTGGATTCAGACCCCATCACAGGTTGTAGCAGTCATAATAAGAAATGACTTCTCTCTATGTTCTATGACAGTCTCTTGGTCATAGGTGGAAGCTGGCTATCAAGGTGGACCCATTGAGTCCTTCATCATGTATCATAGCAGGGTAGTGATAGGAGCCCCTCAATATCAGCCAGGGTGGATAGAGAGTTCTAGCTGGCTGCCTGGTAGGCCTGGACATGGGATGTAGAGTTAGATAGGAAGTGCACAAATCCAGGGGCCCTGGTGGGTTGTGGATCATATGTCCTTTGACTTACTTGGGGAGAGTGGATGGTGTCTTATGGCCATATGTTGACTGCCACTGGAGTGTCTGGTGGACGCCACCTGAGTAGATTGTTTTACTGGAGGGGTCTTACAACATGCCTAGGGGAAACCCAGATCTGATGGTGAGCCATACTCTGCTCAATTGCTGTCTGTTCTCTTAGAAGCTGAGACCTGAGTGCTATGGCAAAAACGGTAGAACCCTGGCAGTACAAAGCCTGGGAGCATGGGCCTAGGGAGCTTTCTGTAGGGCCCACTATAGCCCAGGCCACAGGAGGGGAGGTTTTCTGGGATCTTGGCATGCTGCAGACATGAAAGCAGTGCTGCTGGACCTGCTCTGTGTCACATGCCTTTTCTGAGCCACCCTGGCACTCCGCTGTCCTGCCTGCTTTTGGAGAAGAACCGTACCGAGGCCGGGATCCTAATAACCACGGGCTACACTGGCTCTTCCATGCTCCACCTTCTCCTACTGGGTCCTTCTGCCGCCCCTATGATGCCTGCCTCCTTATCCAGCTACCTTTCTCTCCTGGTCCCTATCCTGGGCCACTTACCACCTGCTTGACCAATACCAAATGTCCACATGAGCCCAGGCTGGGCTCCCTCACAGAACCACTGACAATTTTTATTCCCAGAAGATCAGCCTTTCTACCCAGTAGTTCTTAGCAACCTCCAACTCTTTTTATCTGCCCCCCAGGCCTTTCCCCAGGCCTGTAACAGCCACTCTCCTGTGTGTGTGTGTGTGTGTGTGTGTGTGTGTGTGTGTGTGTGTGTGTGTGTGTGTGTGTGTGGTTAGGGACACACACACTTCCTGTCCTGCCTTCTCACAGCCCAGGTCCCACTTTGGGGTGGAGGTGACACTGGTGGATACACTGGGCCTGAGCTGAACAGTGTCTGGCACTGAGAGCCCTGCCCTGCAGGGTGCCCTCACTGGGGCATCAGTCTTAAGCTGCTATCACAAGGGCTGTTAATAAGACTGTGATGTCAGACATGCTGGGATTTGTTCTTTTCAAGTAAAAATGACAGCAACTTCCTCTTACAGGGAGTCACCAGCTGGGGCGGAGTTGGAGCCCCAAGGCTTGACTCACTGTCTGCTTCTCGGCACCTACCTGGGTAGCTGCGAGTCTCGCAGGACCTTGGGTTGTGTTCTCGATGGAGGAAGTGAAGTGCTGTTCCCTGAATCTTGTCATGAGATGCAATTAACTCATGTCTCTCTCTCTCTTTTTTCAGTCTGCAACTGTGTCTGATGGTGGTAAGTCATATATATTTTATTATTTTTATTGCCATTTTCAAATTATGAAAATATATTTGCCATTTGATGTACTCAGGAAAGATGTTTTCTCTGCCTTTCCCTTATGGGAGGGTCTCAGTTGGAGTTTTGCTGGGGGAGCGTCCTGGTGGCCTGGGCCTGTGTTTGACTAACAGGGCACTAGAACCTCGGAGATAGACAGCACAGGTAGTGTGCTGGGCTGCAGTTCGTGCTCCTGCATGCCTGTGATCAACAAGCAAAAACATGCTTGCTGATCCCTTGTACATCCAGCTTCCAAACGAGCAAGTTCAGCTTTCAAAGCACTTGCTGAATTTGAGCCATTCTGGAAGTTTCCTTCTTAAGGAAAGCATGGTAATGAACTGAGAGTGTAGGAGGAAGAAGAGTCAAAGCCTTTCTCTCAGTCTTCAAAACATTTTGTGTACAGGCTCTTTTAGTGTTACGACTAGGAAGGGAAACACCAGCCAGGTTTAACTCCATTTCTCTGAGATAATCCCTGGTTTTCATTCAGAGTTGTGTTTTTTTTTTTAATTTAAAAAAACTGCCTAAAACTATTTGGAGGGTTTCATCTAGACACTCCTCATGAGTGTAGTAGTCTTAGTACGACAGAGAACTTGGTATAATTTCTAGAAACTTCTGCTCTCTCTCCTCACTGCTGCCCACCTCAGGCTGGTGCCTGTCTCCCACAGGAAAGTGCAGGCGGAGCCTCTGGCATTAGGAGCTCTGTAGGGGTCACAGAATGTTGAGTGGAGCGGAATACAGCTTGAATTACAAACCTGCTCATGCCAGAACACAGACCACAGGGAGCCTGAGCACCAGTGTTAGCATATATTTTAGAATAAAGGGGGTTATATTTCCTGTGTTATGTACAATAATGATCGTGTCATTTAATCAGTCTTAAGACGGGAGCAGGAAAAGCCTCCTTAATGCAAGAAAAGAAGTAGGACATGCAGCCAAGCCTGGGCCAAGAATGCAGGTTCACAGCCTTGGTTCCGACTTCTCTTTTCTGGCAGAGGACATTTAGTCTTGTGGGAAATTTATATACTTGAGAGGTTTCCATAATCCATCAGTTTAATAGTATATAGTATTTCTTATTGACTTTCCAAAGTTCTTCCCTGTTGCTAGGAGTCGGGGAAGCCAGCCCTTCCTAGCCCCAGCATCTCAAGTTGTCCCAGAGGCTTCAGAATGATGGGAAGCCCCTGGCTCCCAGCCCCCACCGTGTCTTTCTGAGGAAGTGGTGTCCTGGCCAGGTGATTCCCCTGTCCCTGGGGGCTTTCCGCCCTCTGTCCCCTCCTCCTCTACCTCAGACCCCAGGGCTGTGGTCCTGTTCTTGCATGGAGGGCCTGCTATGGCAGGAGGCAGAGAATTTCAGTAACTATTAGACAGCCGGATGTATTTTATTTGTCACTTTTCATGCTTTTATTATTTTTCTACTTTTAGTTTCTTTTCTGATTATAAGATTAAAATGAAGAGACTGTTTGGCTCAGTCTGTGTTCTCGGAGGTCAGTGTTATGTGCCTTGGTTACATTGGTACTGAAGTAGTGTAAGTATCACTAGTTGAGGTCCCTGGAGCTCAGGCCTGGAGAAGAGCCTCTGCCCTTCACTCTACTAATCCAGCTAAGGCCTTGCATTTCCCACAGGCCCCAGGAGCTATTTCCTGCTCCCCTATGCCATGCCCAGGCACCTATGGAGAAGGGCTAGGCAGAAGCGTGAATGTTTCCACCTAGAGATATTTTATAGACTTGGTCAGTAGTAGACAGGTTCCCACATGGAGCCTCAGAACCGCAGCATCCCACTGCTTCTGTGGAAAACCATGCTGCAAGTGTGGGCAGAGATGAGGGGCCAGCTCAGTCTGTGCCCAGTTGGGGCTATGGCTGCCTCCTCATCCAGCCTGGGCTGTGGTTATCAGGAAATCTCATACTCTTCAGAAGTGTCCTGCATCCAGCTAACTGTGTCCTTGACATGACGTGGCTCTTTGCTGTCATTCCAGGCCGTGTGTAACGTTTGGTAATGTGTTCCTACCATGTCATTTCGTGCTGTTTTAAGGAAGTTGGGCAGTGCCACTTACGATTTTGCTCAGAGTGTGCTTTTCACTTGCTCAGCAGGAAAGGGCTTAAGGCCACCACTGCACCACAGCCTGCACATTGGCCTTCTGTGGAGGGCAGACTGTCCCTAAGACAGCACATCCTGCTTAGAGAAGGAGTGTCCCTAGCTTCGAGACTTGCCAGTGACCCACTTGTTGAAAACTTATCCAAACAGAAAACAAGGTTAACCTGGAAGGTTGAAAGTGTGTAAACCAAGTATGGGATGGGGGTGTAGCTCGTGGTTCGAGCCCTTACGTAGCATGCTTGAGCCCAGGGATTTTATCCCAGTCTCAGGGAAGAAGGGAGGAGTGAGAAAGATGGAGGGAGAGGAGAGGGGAGGGGACATAAATGTGAGAGTCCCACTGTTGATGCTGGTACTGAAAGGAGTTTTCTGCCTCGGATACAGGCTTGGCTTTCCCACTGTCATCTGTGGTACCTCAGCATCATGCTCCCACAGTGCTCCACTCCTGTGTTCTTGCATTGTTCTACCCTTGTGCTCCCGCAGTGTCCCACTCCCGTGCTCCTGTAGTGATCCACCTCTGTGCCCCCGTAGCGTCCTACCCCTGTGCTTCCATCTCTGTGCTCCCGTAGTGTCCCACCTCTGTGCTCCCAGTGTCCCACCTCTGTGCTCCCAGTGTCCCACCCCTGTGCTCCCACAGTGTCCCACCCCTGTGCTCCTGCAGTGATCCACTTCTGTGCTCCCGCAGTATCCCACCTCTGTGCTCCCACAGTGTCCCACCTCTGTGCTTCTGCAGTGTCCCACCCCTGTGCTCCTGCAGTGATCCACCTCTGTGCTCCTGCAGTGTCCCACCTCTGTGCTCCCGCAGTGATCCACCTCTATGCTCCCGCAGTGATCCACCTCTGTACTACCTCTGCGCTCCCATGATGCCATCTCTGTGCTCCCATGGAGCTTAACCTCTTTAACTTCTTATTGGCAGCTCTACCAGGATCTCCCCTCCCACCGGACTCTTGTCTTCTCAGAAGGGTACACCACTTTCTGCTGCATGAGGACATTTAGGTGTGCCTTTCCTGCTAAAGGTTCAGTAGTTCTGGTGTATGAAGTCAGCTGGCAGCAGGCAGATCATTAGAGACATCACTACCAGTTTTAGCATGCAGACAGCTTGAAAGTCACAGAGCTTAAGAGAGGAGTCTATGAAAGGTAGGAGAAAGCACTCCAGGGCAGACAAGGTGGTCTTGTCACAAAGGTAGTAGTCACGACCTAGGATCTCCTGCCTGGGTCGGGTCAGAACCCCTCCTTTCTATGGAAGGATTCCTCCAGCCTCTGGTTATACCTGCTCCTCACTGAGATAGAAAGATACAAGCTTCTTTTAGCTTCCAGGTCCCTGTGAGGGTAGCACCCTTTGATTTATGCCAGAGAAGGGCTGCGTGATGGTTTATAGTGGGTAAAGGCACCTGCCACAAAAGCCTAAAAATCCTGAGTTCTGTTCCTGGAACCCACATGGTACAGGGAGAGAACCAGCTCCCCAAAACTGCCTTCTGATCTCTGTAATCACACACACACACACACACACACAGAGAGAGAGAGAGAGAGAGAGAGAGAGAGAGAGAGAGAGAGAGAGAAATAATGAAAATATGCCAGAGAAATAGATTGGAGTGGAGGAAGTTAGGACTGTCAGCATGGTGCATCCTGACCTAATCAGCCTGTAACGTGTGACGTCAGTGGGTGGGTGTGGCTTTGGGATCTGTGTAACACCCGTCCTAAGCTCTCTGTACTGTCCAACCTTAGCTCTCCTGCAGGCCTGCTGGTCCTGGAAGCCGCCGTTCCTCATGTGCTCATGTCAGACCCTTCAACTCTAACTCCCCTGCCCTCACCACATCCACGGATCCTTCGTGTAGAAGTGAGGCTTTGCCTCCTCCATCCCGCAGTGCATGCTCTGTCTCCTCCCCGCAACCGCGCCTGTCCTCTGCAGTCTCTCGCAGGGCAGTAGTCCACACTGAACTTGGACCCCCTTCATCTGACCAGTCCACAGTGTACTGCTGTCCCAGACTAGTTCCAGTGACCCGTCAGTGGCTCTCCAGCACTCCAGGTCTCTGGACCTCCCCCTCTACTCTTCCTGATGTCATTCTCCTGTCCCCGCCTGCCACCTCCCCTGCCCCTTCTCTGAGTGGTAGTCTGTGTTCTTTCCTGCCAGTGACTGACATGAGAAAACTTGGTGAGAGGGTCATTGGATCTGGGCCCCAGTGATCTTCAGTGACATTAGCCCAAGTGTTGGAAGGCTGGGTTAGGGCAATGGCTTCTAAAGTGTTTTCAGTAGCAAAATGCTCTTAAACCCAGTCAAGCAAATGTCCTATCCTGGAGCACAGATGGAAAATGCCTGGCTGAATGGCAGGGGGGTGACCTGGTCTGTAGCACCCGTACCTGGCTAAATTCCAGAAGGCACCTCAAGTCTGTCTTCATCTTCTTTTCCAGGCTGCTAGGCCTCAGGTTAGGTTTTCTCTGCTTTTATCCTTTTCTTATCTGAAGTGTGGGCATGAGTGTCCTCTTGTTTGACCCTCTGCCCAGGTTCAGCGTGGACAGGAGAGCCAAGGAATGTCTCCCTGAGCCGTGTGGCAGTGGCGCACGTGACTGTAGGTTTGCTTCATGGTGGAACTTTCAGTGGAACTTGAGGGAACAGAGTATCGGGCCAAGGGCGATTCTTGGCCTGCTGTGCCCCATGGGGCTCTGGGTGCTTGACACTGGTCTAAGTACTTGTCTGGACTTGGTACTTGTCTAGACTCTAGGCTGGCATGGACACTGGGCTGAGTGCTGGGAGTCCCCAGACTGTCCTGGAGACTTGAGCAACTTTGATGAGGACTAGTATGCCTGCTGAGAGCGGTGGCCGCACCTTTGTTTCGTGTTTTTGTCTCTGTGACCTGTGCTAGGTGCTGGGGGCTTGGCCA